TCTGGGAATGAAATTTTACGTTGGGTTTTCCCCATTGCGTTTTCGCGTTCACATCGCCCAAACCCTGTAGAACTTCATTTAAACGCCGCGATGCAAATGACCGACGCGCGCGCTTCGCGGTGTGATTGTTTTCGTATATTCCACATTCATATAATTCCCTCTTCTGATCAGAGAATGGAATTTTACAATGGGTTTTCCCCAATGCGTTTTCGAGTTAACATCGCCCAAACTCTTTAGAACTTCACTAAAACGCAGCGATGCAAATGATCGACGCGCGCGCTTCGCGGTGTGATAGATTTCCTACATTCCACATTCATATAATTCCCTCTTCTGATCTGATAATGCAATTTTGCATTGGGTTTTCCCCAATGCGTTTTCGAGTTCACATCGCCCAAACTCTTTAGAACTTCATTAAAACGCCGCGATGCAAATAACCGACGCGCGCGCACGCGCGCGCTTCGCGGTGTGATTGGTTTCCTATATTCCACATTCATATAATTCCCTCTTCTGATCTGAGAATGAAATTTTACATTGGGTTTTCCCCATTGCGTTTTCGAGTTCACATCGCCCAAACTCTTTAGAACTTCACTGAAACGCAGCGATGCAAATGACCGACGCGCGCACGCGCGCGCTTCGCGGTGTGATAGATTTCCTATATTCCACATTCATATATTACCCTCTTCTGATCTGAGAATGAAATTTGACATTGGGTTTTCCCCATTGCGTTTTCGAGTTCACATCGCCCAAACTCTTTAGAACTTCACTAAAACGCGGCGATGCAAATGGCCGACGCGCGCGCGCGCGCGTTTCGCGGTGTGATTGTTTTCGTATATTCCACATTCATATTCCCTCTTCTGATCTGAGAATGAAATTTTACATTGGGTTTTCCCCATTGCGTTTTCGAATTAACATCGCCCAAACTCTTTAGAACTTCACTGAAACGCAGCGATGCAAATGACCGACGCGCGCGCTTCGCGGTGTGATAGATTTCCTAAATTCCATATTCGTATAATTCCCTCTTCTGATCTGAGAATGAAATTTTAGATTGGGTTTTGGCCATTGAGTTTTCGCGCTGACATCGCCCAAATTCTTTAGAACTTCGCTAAAGCGCCGCGATGCAAATGACCGGCGCGCGCGCACATTTGCTGTTTGAAAGGTCCGTGCGCGCGTGCCTGTGCTCGTTGTCGCGGCAGTGGTAGCGGTTGAGGTGGAGTGGGGTTGCCTGGGGCAGGGGTGAAAGGGGATGGGGTGAGGCAGGGGCGGCGGGCTTCGGTGGTTGTGGTTATGAGGTGGTGCCTCCGCGAGCGTGGTGGTGGCGGTGTTGGTGGCGTGTATACCACAAGTGATTGGGTGGGCGTTCGGGCGCGCGTGCGTGCGCGGTGGCGCGGTGGCTGCAGCGGCGGCGGAAGGTGGCGGCGGTGGTGGCGGGCGACGCGGGGAGAGGAGAGGGGGGTGGGCAAGTTGGCTGAAGGACGCGGCGGATGCGGGAGTCGCATGCCGCGCGCTCGCTTCTGCGGCTCTGGATTCAACCCAGACGAGTTGATTCACACCAGGCCAATTGATGGGGGGGGAGGCGCGCTGTCCGCGGCGAGCTGATGGGGGGGAGGCGCTCTGTCCGCGGCGAGTTATTCGGGTCGAGTTAGTCTGCAGTGCGCGAGTCGACCTGACGAGTCGAGTCCGCGAGGCGAGTCGACCTGCCGAGTCGAGTCGACCTGGCGAGTCGACCTCACGAGTCGAGTCGGCGAGTCGAGTCGAGTCGACGAGTCGACTTTTCGAGTCGACCTCCGAATTTCGAGTCGACGTGCTGGGTCGACTCGGCGAGGCGACGTACGCATTCGAATGGAAAACCATTTGACCTGGGGGAGACGAGTCGACCCAACGAATCGAGCCACCGAGTCGAGCCGAGTCGAGTCAGCGCGTCGAGTCGCCGAGGCGAGTCGAGTCGACGAGGCGAGTCGAGTCAGCGAGTCGAGTCGACCTGGCGAGTCGAGTCGACGAGGCGAGTCGACGAGGCGAGTCGAGTCGACGAGTCGAGTCGACGAGGCGAGCCGAGCGGCGAGTCGAGCTGGCGAGTCGAGTCGGCGAGGCGAGTCGACCTGGGGAGTCGAGCGGGCCCAATCGAATTGCAGCGCGCCGTCGCGCGACCATTCAGATCGGCAGTGCAATGACCAACGGCGCGGTTCTGGCCGCACGCAGAACTGCGAGATCTCGGCGCGAGCGCGGCGCCTGACCGCGGTTTTCGCGTTCACTCTCGCATGCGGCGAAGACAGCGTGCATGCGTTGAAGACAGCGTGCGCAGTGTGCGTCGTGGGGCGCGTGCGTTGTTCTCGGTGGTGGTGGCTGTGGTATTGAATCGGTGGGTGGTCTGATTGATCGATGCGCGGGTGGCGCGTGGGAGTGGGAGTCGGGTGGGGCGTTTGTGTTTCTGTGTGTTGTGTGTGTGTGTGGGTGGTGGTGCTGTTGGTGGGTGGCCTTGGCGGCGGTAGTGGTAGTGGTAGTGGTAGTGGTAGTGGTAGTGGTAGTGGTGGTGGTGGTGGTGGTGGTGGTGGTGGTGGTGGTGGTGTGGTGTGTGTGTGTGTGTGTGTGTGTGTGTGTGTGTGTGTGTGTGTGTGTGTGTGTGTGTGTGTGTGTGTGAGTGTGTGTGTGTGAGAGTGTGTGTGTGTGTGTGTGTGTGTGTGTGTGTGTGTGTGTGTGTGTGTGTGTGTGTGTGTGTGTGTGTGTGTGTGTGTGTGTGTGTGTGTGTGTGTGTGTGTGTGTGTGTGTGTGTGTGTGTGTGTGTGTGTGTGTTGTGTGTGTGGTGTGTGGTGTGTGTGGTGTGTGTTTGCGTGTGTGCGTGTGTGTGTGTAGTTGTGTAGCGGCGGTGTGTGTCTGTCTGTGTGGGGTTGGTGCGTTAGCGTGGGTGGGGTGGGGCGGCGTGCGGAAACGCCGGGTGGATGGTGGTGGGGTTGGTGGGGGGGGCGGGGGGCGGGGGGCGTTTAGTTCGAGAGGGAACGCGGTGGTTCGTGGGTGCGCCTGTTTGTGTGGCGACTGTGGTTGCGCCTGGGCGTGGGATGGATTTCGATGTGCAAGGTCAGGGTGGGAGGTGGTGATGCTGATGGTAGTAGTAGCTGCGCGGTGGGGATGCAGTTGCTTGGTGCGCGGCGCGGGCACACGGGTTGTGGTCATTGTGGTGTGGGGTGCATACGCGCGTGCGCATGCTCGGGCGGCGTGGGTGGGTTTGGGTGGGCGGAGTAGTGCGGCTGTGATGGTGGCGGCGGCGGTGTTGTCTGTGTTGCTGCTGGTGGTGGCGAGCGAGGAAACGCGCGGTTAGTGCGTGCGTGCGTGCGTGTATGCGTGTGTGCGTGTGCGTCGGTTGTGGCTGGGGATGTGGATGAGGGCGGAGGGGTTGCGCACTTGTTCGTGAAGGCGCCTTGTGCCTCCCGTGCGAGGCAGAACGATTGTGTTTATGCGTGGTGAATTCACACGCGTATCTTGCGGCAACCCATGTAATGTTTGGGTGGCGCTGGCGGAATTTGGTGTCTTGGGGCCTTCGGTTTCAGTTTCCCTGGCTGTCTTTGGGCTAGGTAGGCGCATGGGCTTGGTGTAGGCGACCTTAAGCGTATGTGGGTGCTCTGGGTGTGTCTTTGGAATGTTAATCGTTTGGCCCCCTAGAGTTTTTTTCGGTGAGTGCCTCAGGGTCTGTCTTTGGTTTTTTGGGGTCATCGGAGTATGGCTATGGTCTAGGCGGCTTTAAGGGTGTTCTGGTGCTTCGGGCTTGTATCCATGTAGTATTTGTTGGCTTTGGGTGTTTGGTGCACTAGGGTCTGGGACACCGCAAGGTTTTAGGAATTCGGCTCCTGTGCCTGTGTCTTTGTTTATTTGCATATGTGTTCGACAAGCCCATTGGCACAGTATTTTTTCTTTTGTCATATCACCGTTTTGTTTTTCAGGTCCCCACCTGAGGAGGGGCGGCGAGCTTGGCTCCTCCTCCCCGAGGCTAGCAGAAACACTCTGCCCTCCCCCTCTCCTCCTCCTCCTCCTCCTCCTGTTCCTCGTCCTCCTCCTCCTTCGCTCCTCCTCCTCCTCCTCCTCCTCCTCCTCTTCCGGAATCATCATCATCCAGCCCGCTTTCCTGACTGCCTCCTCCCCCTCCTCCTCGCCCTCCTTCCTCCTCCTTCTCCTTCTCCTCCCCCTCCTCCTCCTCCTCTTCCTCCTCCTCTTCCTCCTCCTCTTCCTCCTCCTCCTCCTCGTCCTCTTCCTCCTCCTGCCTCCTCCGCCCCCCGTGCCTCCTTCTCCCCCTCCTCCCGCTCCTCGAGAGCCTAGGGCCTTTCGGATCTGAGATCTAGGCTCTGCAAGTCCAGTGGGGGCCTTTAGGGCCTGAGGCAGTGGGGGCCTTTAGGGCCTGGGGCAGTGGGGACCTTTAGGACCCGAGGGCGTGGGGGCCTTCAGGGCCTGTGGCAGCGGGGGCCTGTGGGACCTGAGGCAGTGGGGGCCTTTAGGACCTGAGGCAGTGGGGATCTTTGGACCTGATCTACTGAGCGCCGCAGGCTACGAAACAAGAAATGCCCGACCGAAAACAGTAGCGGTGGCACGTGCAAATCGCAACTTTGGTGTGGTTTCTGATGGGTCTTCGATTAATGCGAGAAGTGTGCCATGGGGTAGTGCGGCCTTGGGCGGAGCTCCCTACAGGGCAAGCGCGAGGGGTCTGGCGTCGTGGCTCAAGCACGGAGGGAAGAGGCATGGATGGGCAGGGGGAGGAGGGGAAGGGGGGGGAGGGGAGGGGGGAAGTAAAGAGAAGAGGAGAGGAGAGGACGAGGGGGGGGAGGGGAGAGGAGAGGCGCTGAGCCTTCAAAGCGAAGACCCAACTTTTGTTTGTTTGAAAAAGGCGCTCGAAGAGACGCCCTTCAACAGAAATCGACAATCTTGGGTGCCATAGGGCCGGTTTGTATCGAGCCGTTTCCGTGAAAGCAATTGCCTGTCCACTGACGCGGACACGCGCGTTTCTCTTCACACCGTGGGAGATGTCGACTCAGATGTCTGCGATGACAGAGGACGGTGACTGGGCCTGCCCCGATGCAAAGCAAGGGCTGGCAGCACTGGGTGTCGGCCCCATTGTGCTCGATGATGATGCCAGCATGGGAAGCCAGCGTGAGCCTGATTCCGCTGGCGCTGGCTTCGCGAAGCAGGGCGCCGACGCCGAGCAAGCAGCGGCTGCTCCGCAGGTCGGCGCAGAGGGAAACTCAGCGGGCGAGGTCGAGCAAGGCGATGCACCGCTGAGCCCTTGCACGACCATGCTCTTGGATCTGATGGGCGAGGCCCCGAGGGCCGCGCAGGACGTGCAGCCGCCGACCAGCATGGCGCGCGAGGTCGACATCGATCGCGGCGGCGAGGCTGAAAAAGAAGATCCCGATGATGAAGATGAGTGCCGTGCTCCTTCTGCGCTGGACCCCTTGGACACCAAGGACTCCGAGTCGGTGAAGGTGCCGACGCTGGATGAGAAGTTATGGATGCTGCCTCCGACTGCGCTATCCCTCGACACTGAATTTCCCTAGGGGGCCTTGTTGCAAGCACTCGGCAGGATTCGAGGCACTGTGAACAGCTACGTGGAGATGACGACCACGGAAAACTGGCACTCGAGCTTCAAAATTTGCAGCGGTTGCAGCTCTTCTTCGGCGCTTGAGAAGGCGCGGGCCCAACGTCATCGGCAAGGCGCCTCTTGACGTGCAGGTTGCATGCAAGCAGTTGGAGTGGAGGACGTATTCGCTCAGCAACCTTCGCACGTCGCTCTGCCAGTGGAGCCAGTGCGAAACCGACGAGAAGTTGGCGTCTGCGATCCCTCACTTTCGACCTCTGCTGCTGCACCTGGAGCGCGTGGGCAAGGAACTTCATCCACAGTTGGCATTGGCGTTGGTGAAAGCAGTGTTCTACGATACGTATGCCAAGAACAAGTCGGTGGAGAACGCCATGAACGAGGTGGGCATCTCTGTTTTGAAGGAGGTTTCGCTGCTGATGCAGTCGGTCAAAGACGAAGAGCCCACGCCAGATCAACCCGCCGTGAAAAAAAGAAGAACTGGTGGAAGGCAGCAAGCCAGCCACAAGGTCAAGGAAGGACGTCAAGAAGTTCGAGAGCATGGTTGGCATGGACGCCAGCTTGGTTGACCACGTCGGTAGCATGGTGAGCTCCGCCATCGCAGAGCACCTCAAGCAATGCGACGGCATCGCCTCCATGAGCATCGCGACTCGCGATGCATACTCCAAGGAGTTCGACTTGATCTGCAAGGCTTGGGGCGAGCTCTTCGACGACGAGTTGAAGACATGCACGTTCTATGACATCGAGACTGCGCTCCCCAGCATTGCAATCATCTTTCGGTCAGGGATAAGCGACTACAGGATGAAGCCAACTACGATGGACGTGCGGTCAGCCAGGAAGTACGTTTCGCAGATGATCAAGACTAAGGTGCCCGCCGTCCCATCATCACTATGTCAGCTGATGGTAAGTGCGCAGGTTGGTGTGGGTATGATGGAGGTGTCCAGGCAGTTCGCTTCCGTGGGCATCGAAGACGATGCAGCATCTCAGAGCTTCAAGGCTGCTTGCGACAACTTCGAGACTGACTTCGAAGAGGCCTTCACCGACATGGATGCGTTCATCAATGAGCCGTGCATGGGTGGGAGGATGGACTACAAGACTCTTCATTTTCGCCTCGCGCCGCTTCGGAATCTTGCTAGTGCCGCGCACAGGTCTTTAACCAAATGGTCGCCTGCAGGTCTTCCTGACAATATTGAGCAGGTCACCCTGGCATTCGTCAACACCATGGAAATCGTGAACCTTGGCGTCTTCGGGCTGGTGACGACGTTTCACAAGGAGTTGACGAAGGTACTGCTGAGCGCCATGGAGAATGCTACAGGCTGGCGGGCTGGAACATTGAGGGTTGCAACCCTACAAGCCTGTGGCACCTCGGAGTGTTATCAGACGCTGGCCGCAGCAAGTGCGGATCAGCGTTTGCGAACACACCGATATGCCATGGGACCCAGTGGAGTCGCAACCCTTGTGTTCCAACCTGCTGGACAGGGGCTGCGAGGGACAACGCGGGCGACGGCGAGGAACCCGACGGACGAGTGGCTCCGGCAGACGGAGAACCTGGCGAGGCAGTCGCAGCTTCGCCGGAGCAGGTCGAGGTCGCCGAAGCTACCACAGATGGTGCCACCAGCATCTTCCTTGGATCTTGTGCCAAGGCTGGCAGATATCGAGGAGGACTGCTTGAAGTGCGTCAAGCTTCTGCAATCCATTGCGGGGAACGTGCATGCGTGCATCTCGACGGTTACGGACAAGAGGAGCGATGACACCATCACTGCGATGATCAAGGACGTCCCGTGCCCAGGCGACGCTATCTCCCGCACCGACGACAACTGGTGCATCTTCATAACTTTAATTACTTATCTCAGAGAGTTCGACAACATCCAAAGTATCCTCAAGAACCATGTGGCCACACAGCAGCTGTTCGATCATATTATGGGTGTGCCGACTGACCAGGACGCCGTGGTGAAATTTTGCCAATCCCACCACAAATTCGAGAACAAGTTCGAAACCATGAAGTTCGTGTGTGACGGATCCGCTGCCTACGACGAGGACGTCTACAGCAGCATCTGGAGCGCGATTACGACATTCAAGAGCCAGTACGCCGACGTCGCCTACAAGCAGATCGCGGACATGTTCATGAGGCCCTCAATCGTTGAGGACATCGCCTTCTCAGACTTGATGGTCGGTGCAGTCCAAGAGGACCTGATGGAAGATATTCAGCCATCAGACTTGCTGCGTCGGCTGGTTCGCGAGCCAGACATCTCTGTGAGACCTCCCGAAGCATTGGAGGCAATTCTTGATGTGACTACCTCGATTGATGCGATGGCGTTAGACGTTCTTCCTCACAACAAGTCGTTGGGAGCTTTGGTCCTATTCTCGGAGGCAACTTCTTTGGCCAAGGTAGACACATGCGGGACCATCACAAATGATACGGAGGAGAAGCAGGACTCGAATGCGCCCATGAAGTATGCCACCCCCGCTTTCGCCCTCATGTGCGCCTTGAAGGACGTCGTGTTGGTACCCACGTACCTTCGCCATGAATTACTCCTACAGCCAACAGTCGTCAGCGACATCAACACATCCACCCTCGCTGGCGACTGGGCCAATGCGATCAAGATTCTCGCTGAGAGCTTGGTGAGGCGGCGCGAACTCGTTCAGGATAAAGACCTACTGGATGCAGAGCGTAATGGATGGATGCTTCCGGTTACCTTGGCGTCAGTGATCTCATGGTCGCAGCAGGCTGCTTCATTCAGCAGGATGGCGCGCGATGCCTTCATGAAGAAGTGGATGGTGTTCCTTGGCTCAGTCACCGAGAAGGTCCAGAAGGCAGTTCCGCACTGGGAGGCTGCCTTCCCTGATGCTTGCTTCGACCTGACCATGGCACTGGCAGTATTTGAAGACAAGCTGAACACTGCCGTGGACAACTACAACCTGCTTTTCCCCGTGCTCAGCGACCTTCAGAAGGCGGCGTTCTGCATTGACTTGAGCCCAGGGTTGCAGGTGAACGAGGTGACGAAGTCAGGGGTCGCGATTGCAACCACATGCTTGAAGCGGTGCCACCAAAACACCATCATGATCCAGGGCGCGCAGCTCATGAAGACCTCCGGGAACGGCCCGCCAAGCCCAAAGAATGCAATGGAGTTCACCGCCAAGCACAAGAGCGTGAGCGGATCGATCCCGCAATCGTTCTGGGACGAGCTCCAGCTCGTTGCCGACGGAGCTGGTGCGCCGTCGGCGATCCAGGACGCGCCAAAGGGCAGCTTCGCACGCTCATCGAGCAAGGCGTCGCTCGAGACGCCGACGGCCAAGAAGTGTCGTGTTTGTTCGGACACGTCGTCGACGGGACCGCCTGCTCTGAGTTCCACACCTGCTGCGGCCTCGAGCGTGAGCACGCCCGAGCCAGGCGCGCCGCATGCCGAGGAGCCTGCTAGCTTGGCGTCGGTGGAGGCCACCGCAAAGCCCAAGAAGCGCAAGATGACGGCTCTGCGCAGTTTCAAGAAGTAGGCAGGCTCCAGAGCACACCAGAGAAGGATGAGGAATTCCATAGTAAGGTTTCGTTTGGGCCGTAAGCATGCGATGCTGAAGAGGAGGGGGAGGAGGAGGAGGAGGAGGAGGAGGAGGAGGAGGACGAGGAGGAGGAGGAGGAGGAGGAATG